CACGTGATTTTATTTACAAAGATTTTCCCTTAAAAACACAGTAATTACTACTTTGCTGGATCTAATCCAATTTGCTGTTACCAACAGTACATGGGCAGGTCCAGTGCTAGAAGGACCCACAGTCCTGACAAATTTTGCTCCTGTTCTTTCCTATCAGTATTTGTTATTAAGGTACAACGCTGTAAAATATGGAAGAAACTATCAATGTACAGCAACACTCCTACTCCAGGAACACAGGGCAATTAACAACTAATTAGCAAATAATTCTTTTTTTAAAAAAAAATTATTTTGTTAAGTTTCACTATAAGATAAAAATACAGAAAAAAACAAAAATTGAACAATTAAAAGACAGAAAGAAGCGCAATGAGAGAGAGAGAGAGACAAAGTGGTTTCCTACTTTTTTCAGTGCTGTAAAAAGAAAAAAAATATTTTGCTTTACAGTTCATATTTCAAGCCATTTCTATAATACAAAATTATTGTAGCATCAAAACCTAAATCCTGAGCCCCTGCCACAAATTTCCAGGGACATACCCTGCATAAAAATAAACAGCAACAAGATTTGTCTATTCGGTAAGGTTTTGTTTTTTTTACCCAAGAAAAGATAACCTGGTTATCTATTCATATTCCACTTATCTTTCAACGAGAACCTGTTTATTATGCCATTTTTATCCACAAATAAAAGGAATAGCATCTCACTCCTTCCACTAATTAGCTTCAATCTTACATTTAGAAAATGTAAGAATGTAAGGTAAATCTAAATGTGAAATTAAGAAATAGAGTGGTAGTCTAGATCAGAAGGCTATGAATGCTAAAAGAATTGAGCTCACTAAATGCCACACTCAGATTTGCTGGCATTAAAAAGATGACAGCTATGCCAGCAACAGAATTTGCTCAATAGACAGATAAACAGAACACTTCTTTGTCTTGCTCATGTCCCATCTTTCTTCCTATAAGTTCACAAAGTAGCTTTGGAAAATTAACCACTAATTCAATTAAAGTCAATTAATGATTAATAGCTGATTGAAAGAAATATGGCTTTATTTTTCTTTAAATCAGAAAAGTGGGAGCCAAAGACACTACCCTACAGTAACATTCATTGGCCTGAGAACCATACAGAAGAAAGTTCTTTTTTTCCTCCAGCAGCAGACAGATTATCCTCTGACAGTAAGTTATATTCAGCAGGGCCTCTCCTGCTGATCTCATTAACCAGGCAGATTCCTAGTAGACAAGCCAGTTCCCCAAATAATGAAACCATTTAAGGATGTAAAGATCAATATCAGGATATAAATTGTGCCCAGTAGGCAATTCACAGTCAGTGCAGATCTTTCTGTAGAATCATATGATCCCCATGCTTTGCACTGGTCAGCAACCTGGCATTTTATGAGAACCCCAATAGGCACAAAATGGAACCATTTAATTCTTTGGAACAGTAATGTTTGCTACAAAAATCAATGATTGCTGCTTTATATCAAAAGAGCTGTTGCTTTTTGAAAACTGTAGTAGTTGTATCAAGGAACTGAGTTATGATTGTATTGCAACATAATAGCAAACCTATCCTTCACAAAAAGAAAGATTATAAACAGAGAAAAATCTAAGATAACACCCATCTTTTCATCCTTATTATAAATGGGAGCAAGCTCTCACCGAAACCAACTTAAAGCTGTTTTTCCTCCGACAATAAATGTCAAGTGTGCATTATGTGAACACAAGCATTAATCAGAGGGAACATAACAAAAAAAGGCAACACAAAATAAAAAAGTGATATTAGTAACAGTATCTGTATTAAAAAATACTAACAAGATTGTTTGTAAAATAATTTTGTAAATTTATCCCATTTGCACATACTGTCTCCCCCCTTCTTGAATGTACATACAATCACAGAGACGAAATATGGACTCAGCATGCATACAACTTGCAGTAAACTCAGCTAAAGTACAGGTTGTCCTCGACTTACAACAGTTCATTTAGTGACCATTCAAAGTTTCACGGCACTGAAAAAGGTGACTTATGACCCCTTTTCACATTTACAACCATTGCAGCATCCCCATGGTCACATGATCAAAATTCAGACACTTGGCAAATGATTCATATTTATGACGGTTGCAGTGTCCCAGGGTCATGTGACACATTTTTTTGCAACCTTCTGACAAGCAAAGTCAATGGGGAAGCCAGATTCACTTAACAACCATGTTACTAAATTAATTGCACTAATTGCACTAACTATGGCAAGAAAGGTCATAAATGGGGCAAAACTCACTTAACAACTGTCTTGCTTAGCAACAGAAATTTTGGGTTTGATTGTGGTCATAATCCGAGGACTACCTGTAAATTATTCCCAGAAAAATCCATATAGACTACTGTTATCTGGGGATAGATCTGTTCAGCCCAGCCAACACTGGGTAAGCCATAGAGGTAATCCCCGACTTATAATCATAAATGGGAGCAGAATTTCCATTTCTAAGCAAGGTGCTTAAGTGAGTCCCGCCCGATTATATCATCTCTTTTTGCCATGGTTAAGTGAATCACTGCGGTTGCTAAGTGAATCATGTAGTTGTTAAGCATATCTGGCTTCCCCCATTGACTTTGCTTGTTGGAAATTGGCTGGCAAGATCACAAGTGGCAATCACATTACCTCAGGCCTCTGCCACATTTGCAAATACAATCCAATTGCCCAGCACTAAATTCTGATCATGTGACTGGAGAGATACTGTCACAGTCATAAGTCAGAAGACCTGATTGTAAGTCTCTTTTTCAATGTCTTTGTAATTTAAAACAGTCACTAAACAAGTGGCTTTCATTTTGAGGATTACCTATAGAGAAAATAGGGGGTTATCAATATTTTTCTCTTTAAAGTCACTTTCCTCTTGTTCATTTCTGCAAGAGGGATTAGCACCTGCAATAAACCAGTGCAAGCACTACAGAGAAGAATTAATTCATCCTGACAGCTGGAAAATGGATCCCTCTCCTTCCATGTCATTCAAAGGCATTCATGCTTCCAGTAGTCATTCATTCGCTTTAAGTAGCAGAACTTTATTTTCAACAGCATAGACACTACCTGTCTATCAAGTACATATAGTAAGACTGCTACAATTTCAGTGAAAGAAGTGCTCCACCTATTGAAAAATGTTTGTTCTTGAACATGACTGAATGCAGTGCAATGACCTTTTTCAATGTTAATAATTTAGTTCCCGAGTTTCTAGTCGTTAATCCCGATTCAAGTCTTGGCCTACTTTTTTTAAGGTTGTACTAGAGACGTAATAGAGTAAAGTCACCAATGAAAATGACCGAGAGATGGTCTCTCCTTACCTTTTAGTTGTTCGAACTTCATCGTTCTGATAAAGTTGTAACCTTCAAAAGACACTGTACTATAGAAGGGAAGAAAACAAAAATGAAAGAATAGAAAACAAGCTAGAAAACTGTTGTTAATGTGAATGTATCATGTCCTTAGCTGACATAAGTACTTTAAAAGAAAACAACATTATCTTGCCTGGTTAAAATGTAACAATGTTCCTAGCCTTCATGAATGCTACAGTACATATATCTAGTTCCCACTGTTACAATAAAGGCAACTGAGATTGCATAGAGTCCAGGGGTAGGCAACCTTGGCTCTTTTATGACTCATGGACTTCAACTCCCAGAATTCCTGAGCCAGCATAGCTGGCTCAGGAATTCTGGGAGTTGAAGTCCATGAGTCATAAAAGAGCCAAGGTTGCCTACCCCTGGCATAGACTGTCCAGAAAACTATGTGTAGGGAAGACTTCTAGTGAGTATATTTAAAAGTCCCATGTAGGGGTCTTTTGAAATTAAGCATGACCATCCCTTAGATTTATAGGACAAATCTTATGCCTTTTATGTACCCAATAAATGAACACAAGTACCTTTTAAACCAGTAGATCTCCTCAGGGTCTGCAATCCCTAATTCTCTCAATTTCATCACCATAAAAGCACTCTTTTTGATAGCTACTTCGTAGCGTTGGCTGCGAGAGAGGAAATTTACATCTTCATGGTTGAAGCTTTCCTTTGCAACAATAGCTTCTATGGGAAGAAGAAATATTCATTGTTTTTTTCTCAAAGATATAATATATCCTTCTAAATAAGAGGATATTTCTTGTTTAAACAAATCTGTTAGAAATACATTTTAATATTCTTAGCTGCAGTTATCATTCTGGTAACCACTTTTATAATTTAATCCAGATCATGATTAACATAAAGCTGTATTCACAAAATCTACAAAACTACAACTAGTACAAATGAGTTACTTTCCTATCTGGGGGGGGGGGNACAATTATTAAATCAAGGGCTCAAAGATCAGCAATTAGGGCTAAGTTCAGAACCGGATGAAAAAAATTCCAACATGATCTCTGCATTATCTCATTTCAGTGGTTACTTTTACTGGCTCTCTACCAGAGAGGAATGGAAAATCAACAAGCTTGAAGTAGCAAGACTATTTCAACATTGGAAGTTTTCTGTGACATGATATAAAGGGAAGAAAACAAAAATGAAAGAATAGAAAACAAGCTAGAAAACTGTTGTTAATGTGAATGTATCATGTCCTTAGCTGACATAAGTACTTTAAAAGAAAACATTATCTTGCCTGGTTAAAATGTAACAATGTTCCTAGCCTTCATGAATGCTACAGTACATATATCTAGTTCCCACTGTTACAATAAAGGCAACTGAGATTGCATAGAGTCCAGGGGTAGGCAACCTTGGCTCTTTTATGACTCATGGACTTCAACTCCCAGAATTCCTGAGCCAGCTTAGCTGGCTCAGGAATTCTGGGAGTTGAAGTCCATGAGTCATAAAAGAGCCAAGGTTGCCTACCCCTGGCATAGACTGTCCAGAAAACTATGTGTAGGGAAGCTTTGCTAATTAAAGACTTCTAATGAGTATATTTAAAAGTCCCATGTAGGGGTCTTTTGAAATTAAGCATGACCATCCCTTAGATTTATAGGACAAATCTTATGCCTTTTATGTACCCAATAAATGAACACAAGTACCTTTTAAACCAGTAGATCTCCTCAGGGTCTGCAATTCCTAATTCTCTCAATTTCATCACCATAAAAGCACTCTTTTTGATAGCTACTTCATAGCGCTGGCTGCGAGAGAGGAAATTTACATCTTCATGGTTGAAGCTTTCCTTTGCAACAATAGCTTCTATGGGAAGAAGAAATATTCATTGTTTTTTTTCTCAAAGATATAATATATCCTCCTAAATAAGAGGACATTTCTTATTTAAACAAATCTGTTAGAAATACATTTTAATATTCTTAGCTGCAGTTATCATTCTGGTAACCACTTTTATAATTTAATCCAGATCATGATTAACATAAAGCTGTATTCACAAAATCTACAAAACTACAACTAGCACAAATGAGTTACTTTCCTATCTGGGGGGGGGGGAATGAAGATTGCCAAAGAAAAAAAAGCCTATGCTTTTATTTGGTGAGGATTTCAAGCATGTCATTGTTTCTCTCATATTATATTAGATGATAGATTAATTGAGTACAAAAAAGGAAAGTTTGACAGCAGGATGTAGCAACTACTTTATTCTTAAAAGCCATCTCTGTGGCTTTTAAACTGTGGAATTCCCTGTGCCGTGTTATCCCTTTAGGTTTCCTATTTTAAAAAATGAGGTACTGCCTGGGAAGATCTAGGGTTGAAATCTGACATCACCATGAGTGTGGAGTGAAGCCTAAAGCCAAACGACATCTACTTGTGACCTAGTTAGATTAATCCTAAATGTAAGGCATTAGATAGGCATCAAGTAAATATAGGCTTTAGGTATACCAACACATCTTGTGTAACTTGGCAGAAACATGTTCTCTTTTGTTTTGCTACCTGGGTGGGAATGCCTCTTTCTAAAATGCCCTCCCGAGACACCGCTTGCGAGCACCATCCCCAAAATTGGGGGAAAGGCGGCGTCTCCCCTTTCAAGGCGATGTTTGTCCAGATGCAAACGTGCACTTTGAATGGATAAAAGGACGGTAAAGTTCTCGAAGGGCAATGACCCGCATTTTGCAGCTACCGCCTCTACTACTGGGGCAGGCAGCGGAAAAGGGGCCACACGCACAAGGGCTGCGGCTGTCTCTGCATTCCCATCCCGCCCGCTCTCACCGATTTTCTTGCGGCGCAGGGTCTGCTCTGCACCCCCGTCCAAGAAGTTGGTTAGCAGCTCCGTCTTGAAAGAAGCCGCCTCTCGCTCCTTCCGCAGATCCGCGTTCATCTTCACGGCCGTGACTCCTCCGCGACCAAGCCCGAGAAACAACCGCCGGCCGACTCCGCTCCGGAAAAGCTCCGAACAGGCGAAATGTAGCCTTGCCCCGCCCCGCCCCGTGACGACGCGGAAGCCCAATAGGAGGTCGCTTAGCATCCGCGTGACTCTACGGAGGCGTTTCCTCTCGCGTGCGGAGCTTCCAGTAGGGAGGCTTCGGTTCGAGTTGGGAGGTTTTCCATTGCTAGGAGGAAGCTGGGGTGGGGGTTAAGAATCCATTGGTTTTATGCAAATATTTAATTTGCACCATCGACGTTTAATTTCGTACAAGTATGCACCGGGCGTCCTTGTGAAACCAGGGCATTGGTTGCTGGAATTGCACATTGTTTTCGACCGTCCAGGTATCTGTTGGCGTACAATTCAGGATTGCCACCCGAAAGTTTCGCTTTGTGCGCGTATCGCGTTGTATATCTGCTGGTTATTTACAAAAAAAAATATCTGTGGGAAGAGTATTTGTAGCTTTCCAGATTGTAAACAAAAGATTGACTCGGGGGAACTCAAGTTAAACTTCCCTGCCGCTGGTATGCGGTTTGTTTGTTTGTTTGTTTGTTTGTTGGTATCCTGTCTTTATTATTTTTACAAATAACTCAAGGAGGTGAACATATCTAGCACACCTTCCTATTTTCCCCACAACAACCCTGTGACCTGGGTTGGGCTGAGAAAGAGTGACTGAACCAAAGTCACCCAACTGGCTTTCATGGCTAAGGCTGGACTTGAACTCTTGGTCTCCTGCTTTCTAGCCTGGTGCCTTAATTATTAGACCAAACTGGTTCTTAAAGTTAAGAGTACAGTTAGATATCAGGCTGGCTATTGTTAGAATTTATGGCATATCAAGCAGGATTCTCTTTTCTTAGCCAGCCAGACTTGGAAAGGGAAAAGGAAAAGCCCAGGGGAACAAGAAAACTGGGAATCGGGGGAAAAGCAAAAAGTAATGGAATCCAGTAGCCCCAGAAAAGTAGCAGAAAGTCCATAATGGTTGATTAGGGTTATTAAATTATAGTTTGTGATTAAACTTATATTTTAGTAAGGGGGCTGCTTAACTGTCTAGCATAATGGAACAAAAAGCTACTTTGCTTTATAGCAGGATAAATATTCAGAGCAGAAAAATATTTGAGATCTCTGAAAATAGAAAGTTCTTTAATCTTAATCTTGTTTGACAATAGGATCTGTTTTTGCAAGCCATTCTACATAATGCTTCCAGATGCTGGAACATATCACTTTCCTTGGGAAATAAACTCTACTTCAGTACCGGAAGGGAAAACCCTGAGAACATATGGCAGGTCAGTGTAGGTCTATTTTTCTTTAATTTGATCAGTCTATTTTTCTTTAATTTGGTCAATACAGTATCTGCTTATATACTTTATAATTGCTGCATCTGTTTATGCTTTCTGTAATTACTATTTGAGACAACGTCATTGATCTGATTTCTTGCCATCATTGGGAAAGGATTGGTTTTTTCTTTCAATTATTACTTAACTTGTGGTAGAGAGTCCAAATCAAAGATGATGGGATATCCAGCAGTGTCAAGCTAGGGTCAGTAAGATGGCACCCAAAGATTAGCTGCCTGAAGCAGCAGCAGATGTGGGAGGGAGATCAAGCAGAAGTCCAATGGCAAGACATCGTTCTCCATGGGATGTACTATCGACAGACATTGGGAAATCCTACCAGTGGCTGGTAAAGACTGAATTAAAAGACAGCACTGAGACACTGACCATAAGCAGCACAAGAACAAGCACCAAGCACCAGATCCATGGAAGCAGGGGTCTACCACACTAGACAGGATCCAAGGTGCAGGCTATGCAGAGAGGCCTCAGAGACAGTCCAACCCATGGCAAGGTATAAGATGCAGGCAGGAACAGCATACACTGAATGGCACAATCAAGTAACTGGTTGTCAACCGTCCCACTGGCATATGCAGCAAAAGAAACTCCTGGGATGTTATTTTACCAAGAGTATAACTTTACTGATAGATCCATGTAGGCAAAACCAGTTCTGACTTTTAGCATGAAAAACTGCATAGTTGAAATCCCCTTCTCCCCCCCCCCCCGCCAGCCACTGTCCAGTGTCCTCCAATCCAATGCAATCTCTTTGTTTTGGGAAACAGTCTGCTCGGCTCAGAAGGCTCTCATTGTTCAACCTTGAGGTATCTAGATACTCCAGGCCACAGACGGTGCACATGAATTGCTCAGCTTCCTCCCAGCCACACATACATTCCAATTATTCCTAGTTTCTGTTGTCTGGCTGTGAGCGAAAGGTGAGAGCAAATCAGCCTTGACACTGGCATTGTGTACAGGAACATCTGTACAAAATATGGGTCAGACCCTCCTTAAGTCTAGATGGGAGATCCCACAAAAAGTTGCAGAGAATAAGAAAGCTAAGATCCTATGGGACTTCCAGGTTCAGACAGGTACTGGCCAATCATCCAGACATTGTGGTGGTAGAGGAAGGACCAGAAGACAACAGTGGTGATAGACGTAGAAGTGCCAATGGTCAGCAACATCAGGAAGAAAGAGTTTGAGAAACTGTAGAAGTGCCAGGGCCTGAATGAGGAACTAAAAAATAAAGTGGTCCCAGTGGTGGTGGGAGTACTCAGAGTTGTCAGTATTCCAAAAGATCCCAGGAATGACATTAGAACTCTGTCCAGAAAAGTGCAGTGCTGGGAACAGCTAAGATATTGCCCAGAACCCCCAAACTCCCGAGATTGAGGAAGACGTATACCACCCATAAGGGTTAGAAGGGATTTTTTTATATTTTAGTAGAATGTGTTTGTGTTTGTGCGTGCATGGGTGTGTGTATGCCTTAGTGTTGTTGGGCTACTATTGTGGAGTTATCAGTATGTTAGATGTTGATAAATTAGAAAAAAATTAGATTCTCTTATCTTAAACAATTGGAAGAGTTGACTCTTCCTTTTCTGAATAGGGATCGAAGAAGGGATTTGAAAGGAAAGAAATAAAGATCATTTAAAAGAATGGCATTCTTTGTAATGGCCAAAACGTTAGACCGGTATTTTCTTTAACATAGTTTAATGACTATACTGTACTCAGCTGGGTTTGTATTTTACATTGAGCTATAATGTGGCATGTTTCAATTTTATTTAGCACATGGTACGGATTTAGCTCAGAGATTTAATTCTAGTCAGTGTTATTGCAATGTTATTGGACTATGGTGTGCTAAGGTCCATGGGGTTGCGAAGAGTCAGACACAACTTAGCGACAACAACAGCAAAAAATGTTATTGCATTTGGACTGCATTCCCTTTCAAATTTAGACCAATAACCTGTCTTCAGTTTAGACTGATAACTTGCATGTAAACGTTTTTCCAAATATGTAGGTTGTTTTACATATTCTATTTCTGTCATACGTTGTTTGACCTTTCTGTCTGTCTTACTATAATAAAAAATGGCTAAAACATCTTTTTAACTACTATATTATTTGTCATGAATTAATATTTCTGCCCCCCACTCCATGATATATACATGATATTATCAGTATTGTGGAAATGAATATGTGTATCTTAATTATTATCAATATCTGAAACTTTCTTTCAGACTTCACTCTTACGATATGGCCATTTCCCAAGCCATCTTAACAGCTCAACATGCATCTGATCAGCACTGTATTCAAGTTTGCACAAAGTTTGTAGAACCCTTTCAGGCTCAGCTTGGGTCTCTGTATATTGTCCTGGGGGAAACTGAATTCAAGGAAGGTAAAGATATCTATGGTTTTTAATTCTATGGGACCAAAATGTCTCCAAATAAATATGAACAAATAGAACCATTCTTAAGGACTCAAGAGAGCAAAAAATAAGCCAATTTATACTTAAGGGTATACATAAAGGATGCTACTATGATAGGTTCTTTATAATAGGAAAAAAAGATGCAGATTCTGGGTCTGCCATGGTAGCAGAGGCCCTACCCCAGCCAGAAACAATGTTGGGATAATCCTAGAATTACTAGGCTTCTCAATTAAGTTACGGTACTCAATCTTACTTGGGTTGAATCTGAGTCTGTTTCTCCCTATCCAGAGAATTGAGATTGAGGGCATCCCATACTGGAGTGCCCAAGGACTGGACTTCTTCATAATCACCAATTAGAATCCTTTGCTTAGGAAGGAGTAGAACTACCATAGCACAATGCCCCCCATTCCCAAAATTTGGAGGTAATCCAGAATAATACTGTGGTTGACCATGTTGAAAGGTGCTGTGATCTGGCAAGACAAAGGTAGTTGCATTTCCTTCATTCATATCCCAATGCAGGTCATCCATGAGAGTGACCAGTGTGATTTTCATCTTATGACTAGGTTTGGATATCATTCTAGCTATTCCTACTCAATAATAAATGCTATATGTAGACAAGAGAAGAACCATTAGTGCAACAGTTAATGTCAGAGTTCCTACTAAGACATCTTTTCTTTATTCACAAAGAAGTGCTGGTAGGGAAATATAGAGGTAGGAGTAGATAGCTATCTTGGAAAGCTCAGGAGAATTTAAAAAGATTGGGCTAAACCAGAGGTAGTCAACCTTGGCTCTTTTATGACTCGTGGACTTCAACTCCCAGAATTCCCAGCTGTGCTGGCTCAGGAATTCTGGGAGTTGAAGTCCACGAGTCATAAAAGAGCCAAGGTTGACTACCCCTGGGCTAAACAAAGCTGGGCTTCATCACACTATCATCTGCCCAGAAACATGAGCAACAAAGATTTCAATATTTTTGTAGTAGCACCAAATACTTTAGAGGGGAATTGTTGAGTAGCAGAGTTCTGCTTCTGAGGCCTCAGGGGCAAGATATATCTTCATATGTTAATGGTTGAGTAGCAAAGTTCTTCTGAGCCTCGGGCAGGGCACATTTTCATATATTAATAGTGGAAGCGTATTCATGATTACAATACTTTCAACTCACACAGATTATATCTGCCAGGTATGTCATGCCTTGTTCTGCTGGTGAGATATTGATGTTGATCTGAATAATTCCACTTTCTTCCTGGGGGATTGTATGATTACGTTCAGTAGACAATGTTTAGACAAAGCACCTGAATTTTTTTCTTTATTTTTCCTACTTGCTTATTTCTGTTCTGATTGGGATTTGAGACTTTTCTTTTGTAGACCTGTTTTTAAAAACTCAGGTCGGAGAATCAGAGGGAAATATGGAAAGAAAAAGATGGGAAAGGTTAAAATATTTTGCCTGTCCTGCAAAGGGCTTCTTCCATGCCACTTGCTTTTTTATACAGTAATTTTATTAAAATGTGATAATAAAAACTAATAAAACTAAAAAAGGAGAAAGAAAAGAAAAAAATAAGAAAAAAGAAAAGAAAAATATACAAAGGAAGTTTACTACTTCTTAAAATATAATACATTATATTTGTCCAAATTAAAGTATTTTGCTTCATTCTGTATTTGTAAGTTAAGTATCAATGTTTTTTAATTATACTATTTAGTTCTTTCTAGTTCACTCTAATGTCCAACTTCCAAAATCCCATCTTATCATATATATTTTTAAACAAAAGCATTTTTCCATGAGGAAAAAGAAATTCCAAAAGATCTTGTTTTAAATTTCTCTGGACTCTTAGTTTGTTTGTAACTCTTTAAAATCAAAGTTCTACTCACCCTTTTGCTATTTATTAAAATAACCATTTTCGGTGCTTAAACTTGTATTTAAAACTTCTTCCGTAAATGATTGATGGAAACTCACCCAATGCATTCAGAGTTGTCAATCCAAAGCAGCTGACAAGCAATTTCTGAAAGTGATTAGAAAAGGAAATATATGAAACAGTATCCTTTGGAAAGTTCCAAGTGTGATTTGAGCAAGATGGCTATTCCCTAGTCTTTCAGGGCACTAAACCTGCTGGAAACTGCTGTCTTGCAATCCCCTCAAGACGAGCAAATGTCTTGAGCGCTAGTGGGTGATTTCCTTGTTTGGAGAGGAATTATCAAAGAGCAGGTCTACTTGCCAGCTCTTCACTTCACTGAGATTATTGGCTCTGCTTTTCATGGTCCACCATTTCTTTGGTCCACCATTTCTTCCCTGGAAGTCCAGCACCACTTTTCAATGTAAAAGCAGCAGGTATACAATTTGGTTAATTGCATATTAGGAAGTTCTTTTGAATGCTGGAAAAATAATAATATCTATGTTACAAATGGGCTGGCCAATAAATTTTATAAATAAATAATACGTTTTCAAAAATGAACGGTGTCTTTCTACTTGCTATACATAGCCTCATATTCAGTGCTTTTTTTCTTAAAAAAAAAAAAAAAAGGTGCCGGAACTGACACACATTATACAACCCGCCTTGCCTACCCTACAAGGTTCCATCCAAAAAAGGTGCCGGAACTCCGTTCTGGGCGTTCTATGAGAAAAAAAAGCCCTGCTCATATTATGTCAGTTGTTATTGAAGAGCTTAATTTGAAGGATTAAAAAAAAAAGAAGGTCACTGCTTTTCACATGTGTTGTGAGACTGAATGTCTGCTCAAAGGTTAAATGAGAAACATCCTTTATGAGTATAAAACTGATTTATTGTAGTTTGGAACAAGTAGTACAAGCATATTTGTCATTTCCAGTTCTTGTAGTGTACATATTTGTTCTAGTTGGGTGAGGCTTTCCACTATATGCACATTGTTGGTTACGTTTCTTCTGTGAACTTCATGAATATTTGCATGGATGCAGAAAGAATTGCATGTATTGCTTTGAATATAGTTTCCCAAAGAGGAGAAAAGAACAGAGAAAACAGAATGACTGATGTATATGCCATAGATTTAGATCTCTTTGGATCTACACTCCACTTTAAAATTTTACTCCTCACTGTTTGTGCACTCTGAAAAGTACTGTCACCTGCACTTTGCAAAATAGCAGTTGTTAGGCCCCCTTTGAAGACCTGTCTCATCATCTAGGTCTTGTACATATGAATTTTCTCTCCTACCACCTTTTTTTAAACCACCTATTGCTTTCAATTAATTGGGTCTAATTGTGTATTTTTCATTTTGTAAACCACTTAGAAATGTTTTTTAAAGAAAAAGCTGTATTAAATATATATTACAAAATAAAGTGCTTTCTATACTGAAGTAATAAAGAGTGGAACTACCACATTGTATGATTTGGGAGAACATTTTGTTTTAATTGCATTATCAACTATGGCATTTTTTAAAGAGATCCTTTAATTAAAAAAGTGGTGATTTATTTACTTATTCATTTTTCTATTGCAGGTGAAATGATTCTAAAGGCTCGTGTATTTACATGTGTAGAAGGAATAAATCTTCAATTGTTGGAAAAAGCTATAGAGGAACAGAGAAAATATTTTCAGGAGAGAAGGAAAGATCATGAAGAAAGTATATGATAGTACTATGCTTCAGGCAGGATTTATTTTTGAGCAGAAAATTTGCTGTTCTGTATATGATCATTCTTGCCTTTACTCCTGGTTTTGTTGGAGATTATATTGCTTTGTGAATACTTCCTTAAAATTGGTTTGATATAAAGTTTTAGACTCTGAGGATGCAGATTATGTCTAGAGTTCCAGAACTGGTCTCTGTAATAGACTGTGAATCTTATACATAACTCTATTTAGAAACTTATACAAACAATACAGCATGCAAAGGGCTAATAGAAATCTTTATTTTGGAAGATGATTTTTGGAAATTACAAAAGCTTGATCCTTAAGCTTGTTTGAAAGCAAAGAATTTTCTTAATATGCCAAAGAAACCAACAGTTGGTGGCTGTGGGGGAAATGGCTTTTAATTCTAATTTTGTTGATAGAAAAAAGTGTTTTTGCAGGCTTGGAATGCCCCCCTTTTCCATTTCCATTTGTGACAATACAACTTCCTTGCTTTCCTGAAGTTGTTGAACACCTTAATCTTCCATTGTACAAATTTCAAAATATATCACATTTGTGAAATAAAAGCTGTCAAATAATGAATATCTGATGTCTGTCTCTGTCTATCTATCTATCTATCTATCTGGATTTGAAAAAATTCTGCAGAACCAAACCCCCCCCCCCCCTTATCAATTCCATGTAAGTCTGTTTTAAAGAGCAGCTTTTAATTTGAGCCTGAAATAAAACTTAAAATGCTGATTCTAGAAAGTAATAAAATAATAAAACTTTTTCTTTAGTCTTCAATTTGTATTATAGATTCCTACTAAGATCTGTCTTGTTGCCTGGGTTTATATTTATGTCACACTGTAGATGTGATCATTAAGCTTTAGGTAGCTGCTATCAATGTGCTAATGGCATCTACGTTAACATTTTCATCAGGATCAGATGAAACGGTACGTGTTTGCAGGTAGAAAAACAGATTGAATTAAATCCAATTTGTTGGTCAGAAGTGGTTCCTGGATCTTGAATCAATGTTATGGGTCCTTTATATGAGCTGGAATTGATCACGAGAAAGCAGACTCATAGTGTGAAGGGTCTCATTTCTATTGAATACCTTTTCCCAGCTGTAGCTGAATTTTCCAACTACGTTTATCTCTGGACAGAGTTAACTTGTCCATAATAACTCATGCTCTGATAAACTCCAAGGTAGAGTTTTTAAATGTATGCTTTATGAGAGTGCCCTTGAGAATGGCTAGGGGATTGGTTTGATAAAACTTCATATCAGATATTATTAGAAGCAGCACTGCTTGTCTCTTAGGTAAATATACAAGTCCTAAATGTATCACTATCTAGTTACTTATCACCTAGGATGGTTAAAAGAATCATTACTCAACATCTACATCTGATTGTTAATAATAAATTGTTGAAATGCATAGTTTAACAACAAGAAATTAACCAGTTAGTATCTGGTCTGGCAGATTTACCACACCAAGGCTTTTTCCTATTTATTTTTTATCTTAAAGTTGAAGCTACCTTATATTGTTAATGTTTGTGTATGCTTACTTTTCTGCTAACTAGTTTGATGTAATTAAATAAAACATGAAAAAGTTATAATAGTTACTTTAACAAGTGCTGCTTATGTTGAATGGCTTATCTCTTGAGATGTGTCATTGTAGGATATAAAAATAGTTGATAAATATAGTCTGAAGTTTGTTTGTTGAAATCATTCAATTACCGAATTAATTATAGTAGCATAAACTTTCCCTGCCCGAAAAAGCTCCTACAACTTCAAAAACGATCTTGGTTTGGAGGGATATGTTTGCTTTTCCTGCCTGGTATGCCATTTTATATATACAAAATATTTTTTCCCCAAAATGTAAACTGTTTCGGCATAGGAACATGCTGGGAGAAATGCATTGCTTATTTAGCCTGCATCCTGCACCAGACCTACCTTCACAGGAATGGTTGTTTTCTTTTTTTAGTTTATATAGCTGAAGGGCAAAAAGAAAACCAAAACCAAAACAAAACAGGAGAACTAGATCAACTAGAACTCTGGTGAGGCAAGGATACCATCTCTGTTTTTGTCTCTGAGAAATTTACAGTCTATACACAGGGGAAAAAATAAAGGGAAATGCTTAATGACTTATATTGCAAGCATCATAAAGTTCGCCCTGGACTTTGTTCCCCCCCTGACTTTCTACATTCTGCTTCAGTGTTTAAAGTCTGCTATTTGAGGGGAAGGTTCAAGGGCCTCCCCAGCCTAGCCTGGTGTCAATTCACACTCTTGTCTCCCTCTGGTGGTGCAAAAACAGGATGAGTTTTGATCCTTTGGGCAGTCTGTGGTTCAGCAAGAAGGAGGGCATGGAGGCCAATGGGAGGTTGGATCAACAGGTGAGAGGCAGGACTTTTACACATGAATGACCAGTTTTAGCAATGGTGATTCATCAAAGCACATGGTTGTGTGCGTATGTGTGACTGATTAGCCAATGGCGAATATTCTAGTTTTTGTTGTTCAAGGTTTGGCCTGAGGCCTTCTCCGATTAGGAGATAAATGTGTTCCCTTTCAAAACTACATTCCAGAGAATCTCTCATAAGGCTAATTCTTGAAGTATCAACTCTTATTTGTGTCAGGAAACTTTATGGTAGCTGTAGCTCTGAACCACTGAGGAGAGAAATCAATTGAGTTTAGGTGTTCCTTCCCTAAGAGGAAGTGCCTCTTGAAAGCTTTCAAAGAGGCTTGAAAATAGTAGCTTTCCCTGAAGATTTCTCCTCAAACAACCATCATCCTGTCTTTTTGGCCATGAGGTCTCTCCTTGTGGGATAAAAAGGATTTTTTCATGCCTATTTTGATTGCAAATCAGCCTTGGGGGAGGGGGCTGGGCAGGCCATTTTGCAACTCAAGGAAAGAGCAAGTGGCATGTGGTTTTATGGAAGAATTAAACAATTTGAATATTAATAGATGTTTGGGCAGAGGGCTGCTGAGCATAGCCAGAGTTTTAAATATAGCAGCTATTAATTAGCAAGTATAGGTAATCCTCGACTTACGACCACAGTTAAGCCCCAAATTTCTATTGCTAAACAAGATAGTTGTTAAATGAGCTTTGCCGCATTTTATGATCTTTTTTACCACAGTTGTTAAGCAAATCACGGCAGTTCTTAAGGTAGTTTGTTAAGTGGATCTGGCTTCCCCACTGACTTTGCTTGTCAGAAGGTCGCAAAAGATGATGACATGACTCCGGGACACTGCAACCATCATAAATACATGCCAGTTGCCAAGTGTTCAAATTCTGATCATTTTAAAATCATTTTGTATTTTTATTGCATAGTATGAAAGGAAGAAGGGAGAGATACAGCATGCACAGTGAAATAACTTCATATATGGCAATCTAGAATTCTAGTACATGTTACACGGTATTATGTGTTTGGAATTCCATGAGAAAGGAATTCCTTTTCTAGTGTATTTCATCCTGTCTCGTTCATGTGACCTTATTATGTAACACACAGCTATCTAGGCAAGCGTTCCCAACTTGGTGCAAAAAGCTTTTCTGAATATTCATATTTTTATTATGTATTTATCATAATATAAAATACAGAAATACAAAGATAAATGAAAAAAATGGAAAAACGGGAGAAAAATGGGAAGAGGAAAAAGTATAAGATAAAGGGAAAAAGAAAAAGCATTGACTCTTTTTGGCGCAGTAAAATAAGATAATAATGTACAGCCTCAACTTTTACATGATAATATATATAAGATAACAGATCTATCTAATCAGCAAAACTCAAAGTCAAAGTTTCATTTTTTTCACTTCAATCACAAAGTCCAAAAGTTAAATAGTAATAAAATTAATTGTATTCTTTAATCAAAGGAGGCAATTTAGTCATCTCTGCTAACTCAATTTTTGCAGCCATTTGTCCATTGTGGGAATCAAAATATCCTTCTATTTTCTTGCTGCTCTCAGCATAATATCAAATTCCAATTTTTTTTCAAGTTCTTTATTCAAATTTTGATCATGTGACCATAGGAACGCTGCAACATTCGTAAGTGTGAAAAACAGTCACAAGTCACTCTTTTCGGTGCTGTTGCAAATTCGAACCATCACAAAATGAATGGTTGTAAGTCGAGAACTACCTGTACATAATAACTTCTAATCTCTATTAGAGGAAGTTCAGCAGAGCATTTGGAGCAAGCTGAAGTCATGGTTCGTTTAACAGGTACATAGAAAGTCTATTTTAAACTTTAGCTTTTTTATAATTGATTTGTAACCCACCACCTTATAATAATAATAATAATAATAATAAAGTTGGAAGGGACCTTGGAGGTCATCGAGTCCAACCCCCTGCTCCTTTAATTCCTTGTTGCTCAATTATAATTGCACCCTATTTTCTCTGTTCAGGATCTTGCCCATGGAATGCTATTGGACAGGTCCATGCATGCTTGACCTGACTTTGGAAACCTATAATAAGTTTCAGAGACAAATGTAGTCTGTGTCATCATACCTGAATAGAAAAAATAAATCTCGTCTCTGAAGGGCAAGTGCGAAGGGAGAGGAAAATATAAACAGAATGAAAGTAAATTTAGAAGTTGTCTCTTGCAGATTTTTCTCCAACACCTTCCAGTTCGTATGTAGAATCTGTGGGAAGGGTGTTTTACTCTCCTACTGGTGATGAGATAATGTTGTTTTCTACCATGTTTCAGAGGATTACTCCCCAGCCTCTGGTTGTGTAGATATGCTGGATTAGAGTTCCCCAGCCAGCCAACAGTGGGGAATCTTTAGGGAATTCAGGAGCAACAACTCTCAGATGCTGTGTTTTTGCCTAAAAGGATGGCCAGGTCCATAGATAAACTCATGACCCTTTTATAATAAAGAGCATGTCTCCCCCCCCCCCCCCCGCATATTAGTGGAACATTGGTTCTTCACTAGCAGACTTGAGAGGGAACGAATACTTTAAACCTAAAAAACCCTATGGTTTGGGAGAAGCTAGCTGATGAAATTCACCTAGTTTGCTTATACAAATTATTGTCTTTCAATCTTGCTTATTTTATTAGAATGAGTCATAACTATTCCTGAAGGCTTTGGAGCAAGTTCAGTATATTCATTAGGCGGCCCACCTAGAGATAGGGCAGCCAGTTACTGTAGTCAGAATGTGGAGACCATTATGAGACACTAAATTGCTAATTTTATTTTTATTGTCAGACAAGTTAGATTTTCTGTCTCATGTTCCAGAATAATTTAGCTAGCTTTGGGCACCTAGATTCGTGGATGGGGAGTGAGAGGGAAATAGAAGGAGACATATGCTGTGCTAAATGTTTTGGCCTGAATAGGTCTTCGTTAATTATATAGAATCGAGATATTTTGTTGGAGTTGGACTGGTTACCACAAATTTATCTATTAGATTTTTATCCCGCCTTTATTAAAGTAATTCAATGTGGGTAGTTCTTGTTCACTTTAGTATTAAAATTTCATATTTGAAAAGATTTTTCCCATCATGGATATAATCATTTGTTATGATCATGATGTGAGTACATAAATTGGCAGAGGTAATAGTCAATCATCATTCATTAACCTTAACCTATTTGTGAGGACAGAAGGAGTGCAAGGCAGCCAAAATAAATGTACATAATGAAAATTGGTGCATGAAACTTACTGGCAGGCAAAAAAAATTTGGTGGACAAAAAAGAAAAAGAAGTTCAAATGACACAATAGATGTTGTAGAAATTAAACATTGTACAAACCAACTTTACTAAAAGAAGCTAAAATGTAAGAAAAAAGATGGTAATCTATTCTAAAGATGTTGTTAAGAGAGGCATTTAAATAACATTCATGCACATTTACATAGTTGGTTTTGTAGGAGATAAAAAAATAATGACAGCATGTATAATGTTGAGATGTATAAAAATGGTAAGTTGTATTATTGCTAAACATCTGACTAAACTTTATAGCACCAAGTCAGAAAGCAAAAAATGGACACATTCCAAGATGTATTCCAGAAAGTAGAGAAGATTGGGGAGGGCACCTATGGAGTTGTGTATAAAGCAAGAAACAAGCAAACAGGCCAGTTAGTTGCTCTGAAGAAGATCCGACTTGATTCGTAAGTATTAAATCCTGAACTCTTAGTTCATGAGGTTACTCCTAAATCTGCTACTCTTAAACTGATTTTCAAATAGCATTTTGAAAAATGTTTTGGTGTTTCTTTTTTTTAAACAGTATTTTATTAGGTTTTATAAGGGTAAGGGAGGGATAGGGTCAATATAGGTATTGGAATAGGGGTAAGGGTAAGGTGTGGGGGTGGAGTTGGGATAGGGGTAGGTACAACAATGGGGTTGCCCCCAGTAACATTTCCATGCTTTAGCAAGCGGACTATTGTCCGGATACAAATGTTCAATAACAATAGTTAATATAATAGTAAATAGCTATAGTCAATAAGAATAACAGTAGTCATAAAAATATCAATTAATCAGTAAATATCATTCATCTTATTAAATTTCACAATCATTTCTCGCTGGTTCATTTTGCTAACCATTGGTAAAAATTATCCCAGGTTTTAAAATAAACTGAGTCTTCTTTCTCTTTAATCTCTAGGGTTAGTCTATCCATTTCTGCACATTCTAAGATTTTCCTAATTATGATCTCATCAGATGATATATTTTCATTTTTCCAAAATTGGGCAAATGCTATTCTCGCAGCTGTCAATACATGTAATATTAAATACTCACTCTCTTTTCCATAATTAGATCCTAGTATTCCTAACAAAAACAGTTCTGGCTTAAATTCTATCTGTATTTTAATCATCTTTTCCAGCCATGAATGAATCTTAAATCAAAAATTTTTTGCACTAGGACATATCCACCAGATATGGTAATAGGTACCTGGCTTTTGTTTACATTTTTAACAATTTTTCGAAGCATTTTTAAACATTTTCGCTAGTCTTACTGGTGTCATGTGCCATCTATAAAACATTTTATATAAGTTTTCTTTATATGAAGCTGCTTTAGTCAGTTTAATGTTTCTATCCCATAGCTTTTGCCAATCTTCTAAGTCTATAGAGTGTCCAAAGTTTTTTGGCCATACTATCATTGTTTCTTTTACTTGTTCTTCTTCCATCCTCCAATTTAGCAGAAATCTATATAGCTTCTTAATCAAGTTTTCATCTGTTTTCAAGAGTATTTGATCAAATTCTATCTGTTCTTTATAAAATCCCATTGTCTTTACATCTTTCACATATCTTGTTTGCATTTGCAAATAAGGCCACAATGCTAAGTCAATACCTTGTTGTTGTAGGTCTTGCCTGTCTTTAAGTTTTCCATCCTTGTCCAAAATGTCTTTGTAAGTAACAAGTTTGTCGTAGTTAATTAAATTTGGGTAAGCAAAGGTTTCCATTGTTGAAAGCCACTCTGGTATTTTAGTATAATTTTTTTGTTTAATTCTCTCCCATTCTAGAAACAGTACATTCCTTATAGCATGGTTTTGAAAATATCTATGTATTTTATTTTTCCCATACCACAGAAAGGCATGCCAACCCAGTTCTCTAGGTAGAGAAGTCTTCTATTTCTCAACGTTATCCATTCTTTGAACCATGGTAAAATGGCTGCTTGATAATAAAGTCCAAATCCTCCACTATCTTTAGCTTCTTGTAACATTTTAACTTTAATTCGTGCTTTTTTCCCTTGCCATATAAATCTCAATATTGTTGCATTTAAATCATCAAAAAATATCTTTCCCAATTTTATAGGAATTGTTTGAAATAAGAAAAGTAGTTTCAGTAGGACACTCATCTTCACTTCGCTATTCTTCCTAGCAGTGACAGTTGAAGGTTTTTCCACTTTTCCAAATCTAATTTTATTTGTTTCAACAGTCTTTTGTAATTATCTTCTTTTAGTGTTGTACATCTTGATGTTAAGTAAATACCTAAATATTTAACCTTTTTAACTATTTGCAGATTTGTCTTTTTTATGAATTGGGTTTTCTGTTTGTCTGTTAAGTTTTTTGTTAGTACCTTAGTCTTTTCTCTATTTATTTTCAAACCAGCCACTTTTCCAAATTTTTCTATTTTCTGCAACAGTTTAGTAATTGTTTTTAGTGGCTCCTCCAAGATGAAGACCAAGTCATCTGTGAAAGCTTGTAATTTATATTTCTGCTCTTTTATCTCCAGTCCTTTAATTTCCGTGTCCTGCCTGATATTTCTAGCCAGTACTTCCAGTGTTAAGATGAATAGCAAGGGGGATAATGGGCATCCCTGTCTTGTACCTTTCTTAATTTCAAAACTTTCTGTATAATCTCCGTTTAGAAGTATCCTGGTGGTTTGTTTGTTGTAGATTGCTTGAATTGCGTTTATAAAATTGTTGCCAAAATCCATTTCCATCAGTTGTTGAAACATAAATTGCCAGTTTATGTTGTCAAAGGCTTTTTGCGCATCAAGAAATATCAATGCCATCTGTTTCCCTGGATGATTTTCATAGTATTCCAAAATGTTTAAAATAATCCTTAGATTATTTTTTATCTGTCTTTTGGGTAAAAAACCATTTTGATCTGTATGAATAAATTCAGTCAGGATTTTTTAAAATTCTTTCTGCCATTATCGAGGCAAAAATTTTATAGTCCACATTTAATAACGATATTGGTCTGTAGTTTTTTATTTGTGCGGAGTCAGTGTCTTCTTTAGGTATCAAAGTAATATTAGCTTCAGTCCACAAGTTTGATATTTTTGTCTCTGAAAAAAATTTGTTATACGATTCCTTCAGGATTGGGCTTAATATATCTTGTAGTGCTACATAAAATTCTGCAGGAAGTCCATCTGGGCCCCGAGTCTTATCTTTTTTTGCCTTTTTATAGCTTCTATAATCTCCATCATTGATATTTTGCCATTTTTGGATGTTCTCCGGGACTTTTGGCAGGTCAATTTCTTTCATATAGGCCTGTATTCCCTTTTTAGAAACCGCCTCTGCCTTGTAAAGTGTCTCGTAATAGGCCTTAATAATTTTTTTCATTGCATCATTGTGGAAGTGTAACTCTCCTTTTGAGTCTTGTAGCTTATTTATCGTTCTTTTTTCTTTTTTCTTTCTTCAGTCTGTATGCTAACCACCTTCCCGGCTTATTGGCATTTTCAAAAGTTCTGTTTAGACCATTTAATATGCTGTGCCATTATATCCATCTCAGTTAGATTTAATTTATGTTTTGTTATTTCTATTTGTTTCTTAAGAATTTTCTTTTGTGGGTCAATTTGTAGCTCAAGCTCCAGTTTGTTGAGTTCTTCTTTCAACTTTAACTGTAGTTGTTTCTTTTCTTTATTCTTTTTGGCAGCATAAGTTATGGCCAAGCCTCTAAAATATGCTTTAGCCGTGTCCCACACATTTTGGAGGGACGTTTCTTCTTTCTTGTTTATTTTGAAGAAAAATTCCATTTCCCTTGTCGCTAATTGTAAGAATTCTTTTTTTTCAGTATAGATTTATTCAAAGACCATCTTAGTTTTTTCTTAGTTCCTTTCTAAATCATTTTTATTGGGTTATGGTCTGCCTAAACATGTTTTGGTGTTTCTTGAAACATGTTTGGGATGAGGGAAATGCGGATTTCTAAAAACTCTTCTGGAAGACCTTGGTTAGAATTTTTTCATAGTGATAATATGACTTTCCTAACAGATTCCAGATCAAGTATATTTTAAGGTATCTCTAACAATATAATAGCAAGTATCTCAGGAGCGTAAGTTATGATGAATTTAGGCTCAAACTGGATATATGAATATAGTCGTTTGCTTTTCACAATTTTCCAAGTGGCAACTCTGCATGCTCACTTTTCCCTTTGAGACACAACTTGGCCAAATAGAGAAATTGTATCAGAAATCAGGAGCATCTCAAGCTATTCATGTCCTATCTTTTGTTAGAAAGGTCCCCAAATATCCTATCCAGGCACTGGACATATTTGGGGTTATTTATTTTCAGTAAGGAACTGTATTATATTCTCTTATACCATGTTCTGTATGTCAGATTCATAGTAGTGAAATAAATGGGATACCAGAGAAGCAACCTAGAACTAAGGAGAAACTTCCTGACAGTTAGAACAATTAACCAGTGGAACAACCTGCCTCCAGAAGCGGCGAATGCTCCAACACTGGAAGTTTTTAAGAAGAGACTGGACAGCCACTTGTCTGAAATGGTATAGGGTTTACCTGCCTGAGCAGGGGGTTGTACTCGATGACCTCCAAGGTCCCTTCCAACTTTATTATTATTATTATTATTATTATTATTATTATTATTATTATTATCATTATCATTATCATTATCATTATCATTATCATTATCATTATCATTATCATTATTATTATTATTATTATTATTATTATTATTATTATTATTATTATTCAGTTAGTGAACAAATATTCTCTATCAGGATGTCCACAGTAATGCCAAATGTTAAACTTGAAAATTTTTTCTCATCCCTGACATTAATTTTATAAAAGTATGGCTGCTTCAAGCAATGCATCAATAATTGATAATTAATAACCTGACCATAAGCATTCTTGATATGTGATAGGTACTTCAAAAGCTTCTGAAGTTTACAAAATTAAATTCTACCTGGCAGACTTCCTGTCTTGCTTTGGATTCTAAGCCCCTCAATAACAGCTCTGTGCATCCCCAGAACTAATTCATTACTTGCTAGGTCCCCTGTTTTTAAACTTATGGGGTGATGGTTCATCTTGACAGGTGGGAATTTGTAGAGTGAGAGTAGTTATAACTTTAATTAAATCCATAAGTAGAATTGTGATTATGTGACAATCCTCATAAGCAATTCATAGAAGATGAGGATGATGAACTATCCTGCCAAAAACATTCCTTAGAAAAATTGGGATTGCTTCATCATAAAATGTTTTTTCCCCACAGGGAGACAGAAGGAGTACCTAGTACGGCAATCAGAGAAATCTCATTGTTAAAAGAATTGAAACACCCAAATATAGTGAGGTAAGAAAAGCTACTGGTCTTTATATCTGCCAGGATATATTCTATGACTATCAAGTATTTTCACAGATAACAATTCCAATATTGTATTTAGTCATATATAAAAATAGACCCTAAACAGTGGTGGGATTCAGCCAGTTCGCAACACTTTGGCAGAACTGGTAGCTAATTTTTTGTTGTCCAGGTCCAAAATGGACTTCCAGAAGTGGCATCCACACAGAGAACCGGTTGTTCACATATTTGAATCCCACCACTGACCCTAACCTAACCCTTAGAAGTTTAACTCAATAATTTCTGTATTGTGATATTATCCCCTGCCTCCAAAGAATTCATATTGGCTTGCACAATTTTCCTTTTGTTGTTATTTATTTATTTATATTTATTTATTTGTTCAATTTCTATAGCTGCCCATCTCAAAAAAGTGACTCTAGGTGGCAAACAATCATAACATCAATTATAAAAACTCTTGAGAGGTGGGAAAATTGACCCATGTCACCCAGTGAGTTTCATGTAAAGATATCAAATTGGATTTCCCCTAATCTTAAGGCACCCTACTACACTGAGTCTCCTTCTGCTGCATTGAAGAGCTTGCAGTAATCATGCTTACATATTTTATCTAAATCTAAATACTGAAGTCACTGGGTTTCATTTTTTTTTCAGGCTCCTTGATGTAGTACATAATCAGAAGAAACTATACTTAGTCTTTGAATATTTGAATCAAGATCTTAAAAAGTACATGGACTCATCACGTACAGGAGAGCTTCCTCTAAGCTTAGTCAAGGTACCCTCAAATACCCTCCCTCACAGGCTCCAATCTGAAGAACTATCCTTTATCTGTCTCTGGCAATTAGCTAGCACCAGTGGTGGGATTCAGCCAGTTCGCACCACTTCGGCAGAACCGGAAGCTAATTTTTTGTTGCCCAGGCCCAGAATGGACTTCCGGAAGCGGCATCCACACAGAGAACCGGTTGTTCACATATTTGAATCCCACCACTGGCTAGCACATTTTCAAACTATTTTCAGATTGTTCCTTTGCAACGTGGATGTTCAATTTACAACTCATATGGACCAACAATCTTCTCTTTGGCCCATTGCAGTCAACAGTACTTTCTGTCTGCCTGCCCAAAAAAATGATCGTCACATTCCTAGGAATGCCATAGCACCCTGCCAGCTATATAACTAGATGTCTTGGAAGCTGCAGGAAAGCTGTTCAGCTAAGGAAGAGAAAAAAGAAGATGGGAGGGGTGGTGGTGAATATGTGTATGTGTATATGTATATGTATATATGTATAGTTGTAGGAAGCCAGGGAGATAATCCTGGAGAAACCACCCAGAAGCTATTAAGACAACAACAGGTGTAGAACTGTGCATTGTGTTCAGGGAGGCAGGAAAATGTTAAAAAAAAAAGACAGACTGGCTGACACACACACACACACCCAACTCCCTGGGGTATACATGGGAGGGGAGGGAAAACACAGGTGGACTTGCAAGATTCTGTTACCATAGCCTGGCTCAATAAAGTATAGTTCTAGTATGCCTATGGATTTATTTTTCTGATTTGGTCTACCTCATAGAGTTGACTATGTGCCCCTGGTTGTTTGTGGCTCCTAACTGACCGGCTGGTATCCCATGTGATTCTTGTGGTCAAAAAGGTTCCCAGTTCCTCTTACCTGAAGTGTTGCAAAATCTTTGACATATAATGTATTCTCTTTTCCTCTGGCTCATGATAGAAAACCTACCGTAGTTTTGATAGCAGTTATGAGGTTGTTACGGGAAGAATTAAATACTTAATCTTTATTCTTCCTGCTGAGATTGTTCTTCCAATTACATCTCCTTTCAAATCTACACGGATTTCTCAACCCATGTTTAGAAATTCATTTTTAACTGTGAAGGGGAAAAAAATATTTCAGGAAATGATCTGGCATTGCAAAAGTAGCAGCTGGGCAAAAGTATTAAACAGTTTTATCTCATACTGGTTTTTTTTTACGGTAAATACAAAATGTTACCTTGAAGCTGTTATTAAAGGAAAAGGGCCCTAGAATGTTGATATTCATATAATATTTGAAAAGCCTATATAACATTGTCTTCATTCAAATTATATGTAATTCTCAGTGTGGAATAATATATCTGAAAGCAAACTTCCTGACAGTTAGAACAATTAACCAGTGGAACAACCTGCCTCCAGAAGTGGTGAATGCGCCAACACTGGAGGTTTTTAAGAAGAAACTGGACAGCCATTTGTCTGAAATGGTATAGGGTTTCCTGCCTGAGCAGGGGGTTGGACTAGATGACCTCCAAGGTCCCTTCCAACTTTATCATCATTATCATTATCACTGCTTCTTGGTGCAAAAGCACTAACTTAAAAACCAGGAGATGGTGAATTCTAGTCCTGCCTAAAGTCAGATTCATGATCTTGAGCTGCCGCTCTCACCCTGCACTAAGAAGCAGGCAACAGCAAACCACTTCCAAAATCTTGCCAAGAAAACTGCAGAGATTTGTCCAGGCAGTTGCCAGTAGTCTTTGCTCTGATGCAAAGGTACACATATAATGCAGGATCCAATCTGAGCCATTCACCGGGACCAGAGCTCTCTCTCTCTCTCTCTCTCTCTCTCTCTCTCTCTCTCTCTCTCCCTCCCTCCCTCCCTCCCTCTCTCTCTCTCTCTCTCTCTCTCTCTCTCTCTCTCCCTCCCTCCCTCCCTCCCTCCCTCTCTCCCTCTCTCTCTCTCTCTCCAGAATGAGAAGAGAGAGAGAGAGAGAGAGAGAGAGAGAGAAGTTCCCTGAAGATGGACTCCAGCATGAGTCTGAAAGCTTGGAAGACTAAACCTTTGGTCCCGGTGACCGATTCAGATTAGATCCTGCAACATTATACTGGGATATGTAGATTTACCTTCATTTGTACATACATTCTGCTTGTAGCACCTAGGTCTTGGGACAGTTATTTGATCAACGTTTACGTATTATACATGTGGCAATTGTAACACCTGCCATTTGTTCTGGATGCATATGAGAAGATTCAAGACTACAGTTCTTCTGCTTGAATAGGCTTACTGGGGGAAAAGCTTTGTTCCAGTCCCTTCTCCCAGAATTACAGTGCCCAAGTCCATCATGCTTCTCCAGACCACCCAAATCGTGTTTTTTTTTTAAAGAGGAATAGTGTCATTCTCCAGGGCTAAAAAAGGTACTAACCTGGAATCTGTTTATTTTGTTTGCTAGTTAAGGTTAAGATACCTAATTAGCAAAAATGTAGACAATCATTACGTGGCAGTTAAGATATATATTCTATTCTAACCTTTTGTTATGTCACTATTTTGGAAGCACATATATGGTAGCAGAATTTTGAGATACATCATATTTTGCTTAGGAAATGATGTGTCAACCTTATCGTTTCTTCATATGTGGTCTCTGAACTTTTTCTTTCTAGAGCTATCTTTACCAACTGTTACAAGGGGTAAGCTTCTGCCATTCTCACAGAGTTATCCACAGAGACCTGAAGCCACAGAATTTGCTCATAAATGAAATGGGAGCCATCAAACTAGCTGATTTTGGCCTAGCTAGAGCTTTTGGAGTTCCCCTACGTACCTACACGCATGAGGTAATGTCTGTCTCTCAGTTAGATAGGTTGCTGGGTCAGCCCTTGAAAAGAAATTACACAGAGATAAGTGTGTGTGTAGGAAAGTGGGAGTTATGTTTGCAGTCCCTCCAAAAAATTTTTTAGGTGTAGCCCAAAGAACCTCTTGAAATTTACCATTAAATTTCACACGTAAGGAGTAAATCATGTTAGGGTTGTGACAATTTCAGAGACCAGAGGAATACAAGAGAGAGGTCTGTTCAAAAGATTTGGGCTCTTCTGCTGCCCAAAGCAGACTGGTGCTAGAAGATGTGTATAGGGGCCATAAGACAAAGGGTGGACCCTTGCCAGTATAGAAAGGGCAATAATCTCACCCCATAAGGATCACCTGACTGCAACAGATAGAATGGTTGTTGCAGTATGTTAGAGTTCACTCAGAGTAAAACTGCTGCCTGCTTGCAGAGAAAAACACTCATACTAGAAGGGGATTTTAAACTGTCTCAGGTTTGGTTTGGGGAAATGAAGGCAACATCATGAGGATATGACAGAAAAAAGAGGTTGCCAGGTACATTCATGCTGTGTTCAGGTACAAGTGGGGAAAAGCCCAGAATTTGATTAAACATGGTTTATAACATGGTTTATAGGTCATATCAAAAGTAACTGTATTGTGATGTATCAAACTAGTTGAGATTTTAGATCAAGATTCATATAAGCTAGGTAGGGAAAAAATGCAGAGCACAGCTTCTGGAATGTTTTCTAACCCCTTATAGCACCTCTACTCTGGATCTTATGACTGGGAAGGAAGTGTGTGTGCGTGTGTGTGTGTCTTTCTCTGTGTGTGTTAGTGGAACAGTTGGCAGCATTGTGTGTGTTAAACAGTTGGCAGCATTGTGTGTGTTGGAGGACTTGGGATGTTGGGTTTTTTTCAGTGCAGCTTCCGGTCAGATTCTGCTGATTTTTGAGTTTGATCTTTTTTGGGGGGGGGGCTTCCCTTGCATTAAATATGGATCCATTCTAGTCTATTTTCAGGGTTATCCTGAAGATGGATCCTGAGCCCTTTTGTGGAATATCTTCGAACATTCAATTGGGTTGGAAAGAATAAAAAGTAATTCTCTTGGGATCATTATGGCCATTATTCTCAACCAATTGCGTTATGTTATTTGGCAACCATTAAAGAGACAAGGGTTCTTTCGGGGAGTAGAGCAGACAGGCTTATTTTGCAAATGGAGGAGGGTAAAGGTAAATTTGGTAAAACAGCCAATCTCCACCAGTCTAGAATGGGAAGGTGTTAAATTAGAGAAAGGATTTATGTCTTTCTACACTCTCTATGCAGCCTCCAAGACTTTCATATGCACTGGGCTGTGAACTTTCCTGGATTTTTGATTATAAAAAAAATGTGTGTCCCAATATATCTATCAATTTTATAGAAATCTCTGTTGAAGCCACCTAACATGGTTGATCCAGGACAGAGTTTTTTTTTTCTTTTTTGACCTTTGAGGCTATTCCTCCACCAGATCTTTGGCCTGTGTTTCTGTCCACCTCCCACATGATATTGCTTTTTCTCCTACTGTGAGGTGCAGTGCTTTCCAGTAAAGAGGGAAAGTAGAAGAGAGAGAATATCAAGGGATACAAAGCTTCTCTGACCACCAGTAATAGAGGATGTTGAATTCCAGCAGGTTGTATAGATGTAGCTTGTAGTAAATGACTTGGAGAACTCAGTGTGCTTTGGACGTACAGTTCAATAATAATAAATGTTTTTAATTAAACCTGAGAAGGTCTTATAAATCAAACAACCCATTAAATTTGATTCCTTTTAGGTGGTTACCTTATGGTATCGGGCTCCTGAAATTTTACTGGGTTGTAAATATTACTCAACAGCTGTGGATATCTGGAGCATTGGCTGTATTTTTGCAGAAATGGTAACATTCTTCATCTTTTTCTGTTTCAGAGAAACATTATAATCACAGTATAGATGATGAAAAATACATATGCAAAGAAGTGCTTTGTGAGTGCCCATGTGTTTTTTTAAAATTCCCTTTTCTTCATCACTGCACATCCTAAAAGATATCATGAAACATATCTTGCTTTCTCTTCCTATTGTTTCTAATTGTTAAAACCCTAATTTGAGGTTGGTCAGCCATGTCTGATGATGTCATGGTATTACGGAAGAATTTCTTTTTTCTTTAGTTGGAGGAGTTAAAGAAAAACAATATGCATTAAGCCTCACAGAACAATACAAGGATAGCTTCAGGATGGCAATGGGACTACAAGTAGCCTTTGGGTTGCCTTCGCCTATCCTAGAGAGGTGGTTAGTTTTAGCAGTTGTAAATTGCTAAAAGGAAGGGCGAGGAAGATTTAAAGGAAATTCAGCAATAGCAATAACAATAGCACTTAGACTTATATACTGCTCCATAGTGCTTTACAGTACACTCTGAGTGGTTTTACAGAGTCAGCCTATTGCCCCCAACAATCTGGGCCCTCATTTTACTGACCTCAGAAAGATGGAAGGCTGAGTCAACCTTGAGCCGGACAGGATCGAACTCCTGGCTATGGGCAGAGTTTGCCTGCAATACTGCATTCTAACCATTGCATCATCACAGCTCCTAAATCCTTATGTTTCAGTATTATGTGCCAGCATGCCCTTAAAAGTTTACGCTTTAGTTTACTTCATTAGTCTTAAGTCTCAGCATCTAACTCAATTCCCTCAAGCTTCATACATAATCTTTCTCTTTGCTTTTTGCCTTAAACTGTTCATTGGTTCATAAGGCTGGAGTACAGTACAGAAGCAGCCACTGGAGGTTGCTGGTGTCTAAGAGAACAAGTATGATTTTACTAAATACTAAAATAAATGTGTATACTGTAGAGTCCTTCTCCTGGCATCTTTTGCAATGCTGTATTTTGAAATGGCAGAACCTCATAAATGTAGCCTATGCTTAAAAATTAGTTTCCAAAGATAATTTAATCTAATTTCTAAACTTCTCTCTACAAGGGGTCAGTTAGAGCTTTAGACAAAAGAGCTCTAGGCTCTTTTCTGGGTGGTCGGAACCAGGAAAATGGCAGGAGAACCAGAGTTTAAAAAAAAAAGTTATTAGAATGGCTCATTTCCAACCAAAGATCAATGGGAAATTGCATAATTTTTGCCCAGGAGGTTGTTTAAATTTCACTCCCCCAAACTGAGCTACTGAAATTGAGACAATCCCTCCTGCGTGTTTTTCAGCACATGCGTTTGTTACATTTGGTAGTTTGCAAAAATATCTCAGGAGCTTTGTAACTGAAGGTCAGTTTTAAGAAGTCTAAACAAACCCACTGAAATTCTTTAAAGTTTTTCTGATCCTCTTGCCATTGTTTCTCTGTTGCATTTATAAATTGATATGAATTGTGAAAGTGGAATTATATCACGTGGGCCCTTTTCCCAATAGCTGTGACAGTAGCTGCGTGTTGCCATGGTGGATGGATTTTGGAGAGGGAAATTATTTCTAAGTGGAGGCAGGATTAGATTAGACTAGCTCCAAAGTACTGAACTCTATGCAGGTATGGAAAGAATAATACCTAACCTGAGCCCAGGGCATGTGAGGCAAAAGGGCGCACATGTAGGTTGCTCACAAGGTCTACAAAATCACTTCAGTTCAGAGGAAGTATTACAGCAACTTCAGAAACTGATAGACTGACTTCCCCAAAACCAGACACTGAAAAAACAGCCATTGTGATGCAAAACACTGAGGTCTAAAAGCTTACAAAAGCTCAGTATAATTCAGTTTCATGTATTAATATTATACATGTCCAGATGAATAGAATAGGTGTTGGGTTAAGACAGGTGTAGGCAACCTTGGCTCTTTTATGACTCGTGGACTTCAACTCCCAGAATTCCTGAGTCAGCCATGCTGGCTCAGGAATTCTGGGAGTTGAAGTCCACAAGTCATAAAAGAGCCAAGGTTGCCTACCCCTGGGTTAAGATATTCCTCTTGAAATGTAGAATCCTAAAGTATTTTCAGTATTTTATCATATGTAAAGCTTTTGGTCTTTCTAGAGAAGATCTAGCTGTGAAGTTGATGGTGGAGGGAGCAGAGGAGAGAGAGAGAATATCAAACTGATAATTAAGAATTTTGTGAATATTTTGTAAACAGTGTACTGGAAGAGTTGTAGACTCATAGAGGTCTGTTGCTCTTTTCCCATTGATACTTGATAGGCTATTAGATAGGTCTGTTCTGATATACCAGACTTTTTATAATGGAAACATTTTATTTGGCGAGAGTAATGTTACCCAGAATGAAGATCATATATGTGTAAGGATCCAGGTGAACGAACCTTCTTCTCCTTGGTCCAGGTGACTAGAAAAGCCTTGTTTCCTGGAGACTCTGAAATTGACCAACTATTCCGGATTTTCCGCACACTTGGCACTCCTACTGAATCACTGTGGCCAGGAGTCACAAATCTTCCTGACTATAAAGGAAATTTCCCCAAATGGCCAAGGAAAGACATGAAGGTGATCATTCCAAACTTGGATCAAGATGGACGAGACTTACTGCTGGTGAGTAGAAGACTTGTAAAGGGGTTAGGCTTGTTTTTTTTTAATAATTGGGATAAGAATTGGAAAGCGTCCACTAGAAGAATTGAAATGGGCCCAACATATGTTTTTGAAATGCAAAGGAAGGCGATTTCTAATTTCTATGAATTATGATCTCTCTGCATGCATTGACAAATTATCTCACTTTTGTATGAACAAGAATGTACGAGGCAGCTTGCTAGATCAAACCAAAGGTCCATTTAATCAAATATAACTGTAATTAGCAGGACAGAAATGGACTAGCTTAAACCTCTTTGTTCTTTTTGTCAAAAATGAGGATTGTAAAGGATTATTTCAGGGTTACTTGAATTTTCATTGAAGGGTTTACTGTAAATGGGCAGGACTTAAAAGATTGAAGCATGCTCATATTTCTCTTTTTCTAAATTACAGCAACTACTAATGTATGATCCCAACAAGCGAATCTCAGCCAAAGCTGCTTTGAACCACCAGTATTTCTGGCAAGCTCCACGGGATGCTAAACAGTGTGTGGTGGAACAATATGGGTCATGAGATTAAGAAGTTCTGGTTAATGCTTTGCTGGAAATAGCTATGGGATTGTCTCATTCTAAACAACATAGCGAAGGAGCAGCTGTAACTATCATTAAAATGTTCTTGGCCTTTTGCCCAGTTTAATATTCATGCAAACATTTTGACAATTGTAAATGGTACAGATCCTTCTAAGGACTGATAGTTCTTCTTTAACAGAGGTGAAAAAGCTTAACGTGTTTAGTATATGAAAAGGAGTAGTACGATTTGCTATCTGAATAGTAGAATGAGAAAAAAGTTTAACTAAATCCACTTTCTGTAATATATTATTCACTCTTTGCTGTAGTTCAAGTACTAGCATTACAATATATGGTTATTATTATTTAGGTTAGAGTAGCACATCCTACAGTAGCCTAGGCGATGTTGATTTTTCTTTTTTTAATATGAACTCATGCTGTATTTCACAACACTATTGAAAACTAACCATGCTAAAAAAAAAGAAGTATGTTTGTGTGTGGGGGAACTAGATATCACAGAGACACACTGAAATATGCTATGCTTGAGTTTCTTTCTGTACGTATCCATCATAAAAACAAGAACTTTGTATCATCTAGACCAGGGGTGTCAAGCTGCCGCGCCCACCCCATTGCCGGCAATGGCAAAAAAAAAAGTCACGATACGTCGCGACATGTCACGTGACGTTGCGAGTTTGACACCCTGATCTAGACTATTAAATAATTAAGAGGCGTCTTTAGCTGCAGTTTGGCTTTTCAGAAATATTAGAATTTTAGTTTCTAATTAAATAAAAATATCAAAATCTGATCATCAATATGCCAAAATCCGAATTAGTGTGTGACCTAAAATAAACGAATAAATAAACACTTGAAAAATTCTATTTGTTGGTTTTAGCCAAATATATGGGTTGAAGGTAGAGACCTTGAAATCTCTGGTTTCTGATGGAACCTTGACAATATATAGATGGAAAGAGGGAAACTTTACACTGATTCAGGTTTCCCCTTGTGGCCCCTTGTGCCTCCTAAAATGTACTTTAGAGAGCAGTATAGTAAATTACAGTGCATAAAGAAAATCTGGAAGAAGCCAGTGAGATGTCCCTGTTCTATTATGCAAATACTGTAATTATTATTGTTTTGCATTTGTAAAAAGGCAACCCAGCATCCAACAGTAGTTCTTTTCTATATTTTAAAATTGCTGTTAAGAAATTTTATCATTAATTGTTGATGTTGCTGTTAATTAATTGTTGATGTTGCTGTTAATATTCCTGTTTACATAAATAAAAAATGCTTCAGTAACTTTTGCATTAATGAGTTTTGATGGTTGTAAAATTAATAGCATCTGTAGACCATGCAAAAGAGACAATCAACCAGCCCCAAAGAGAAAAAGACTCCAGCACTTCCCCACCAGTAATCAGCACTTGGATCAGTATAGATTACCGTAACTCCAAGGTCAACTTCAGACCAACAATCAAGTAAGCAATTCCCCAATCAAGAAACTACCACAAAGCCATTAGTAAACAGCCCAACCAAAGAATTCCTAAGACAGCCCTCACCCACCCAGACAGGCAAGACACCAGAATATAAGCAGACAGCAAACTGCACTCCTTACTAGCACTGATGGTGTTACCTAGTTAGGATAATGAAATGTCTGCAAGAAAACAAGCAAGCTCAGAGAGCACCAAGAACCCCTCACTATCAAAAATAGCTGTAAAAGGGGCAGTTTGAAGACAATTATAATCAGTATCCCTCTTTTGAATGTGAACTACTATATACTATAACAAAGCAGTGAAAACTTCATAGCATAGTGTCTAGTTATCATTTTAAAACTAGGTTCTAGCCCTGTTTCCCAGGTAAGTGGCAGTACCCAAAAAAGCTGCAGCAGCAGCAGCCAAAAAAGCTAATACAGTCCTGGGTTGTATAAACAGAGGCATAGAATCAAGATCACACAAAGTATTGGTACCACTTTGTAAGGCCCTGGTGGGACCACACCTGGAATGCTGCAGCCAATTTTGGTCACCGTATCACAAAGAAGATGTGAGAGTTTGGAAAGAGTTCAGGGAAGAGCAACTAAAATGATCAGGGGCCTGGAGACTAAAGCATGCGAAGAACGGCTATGGGACTTGGGTTTGGCTGGTCTAAAGAAAAGAAGAAATAGGAGAGACATGATAGCAGTGTTCTAGTATTTGAGGGGCTGCCACAAAGAGGGGGTCATGTTGTTCACCGGGGCACTGGAGGGCAGGACAGGAGACAATGTTTGGAGGATGATCAAGGAGAGAGGCGGCCTGGAATTAGGGAGAAAATTCCAGACAGTGGGGACAGTTAACCAGTGGAATAGCCGGCAGAAATCGTGGGCACTCCATGACTGGAGATTTTGAAATAGAGGCTGGACAGTCACTTGTTGGAGATGGTGTAGGTTCTCCTGCTTGAGCAGGGGGCTGGACTGGAGGGCCTCCAAGGTCCCTTCAAGCTCTATTTGAAGTGAAGATTTGAAGTACCTAGCCATGTATGGCTAATCTCAAAAGGCTAAGTAGGATCAGAACTAGTTAGTTCTTAAGATGGGAAACCACTGTGAAATACTGAGCTATATACTAGACTGCAAAGGAAAAAAAAGAATATGGCAAAACACTTTGTTGCCAAGAAAACTATATACATATATGAATTCCCCAGAAGTTAAGTGCAATATGGAAAGAGATTTTAAATTTTATATATATAGCTCTTTTACAATATGTACAGAATGTCTGGTGTGTGTTCTGTAGTACTATATTTGCTATTAATTTGATTTGCTTTTTATTACAGTTTTGCCTTAGACTTAGAAAGTGCATTCTCTCTGTGTATGTTTCCATGTAATGTTTGGCACTGCTACTTTTTGAGTTCTATAGTTTTATGGTTATTGCTGGATTGAGAATCTATGGTTCTCTAGATGTTGCTGAATTCTAGTTCCCAGCTAGAGACTCGGGAATATGTGAAGCATTATACTGTATACATCGTAGGAAAGGGGATTGATTGTTAGCTCTTTAAAAAAATAACAGGATAGCAGTCAGTCTTTTAACTTTTATTTGCATGCATGATCTTTAAACTCCAAGTGTTGTGACATACATCCCTTTTAGACTTTATACAGGAAGGAGCTATTTCCTAAGCATTTTGAACTTTTTTCTATTTCAAAAACCCCTTTATTCCCTAAAATAGATTCTGTACTAACTCCCATATTAGATCCCTTCTACTTTGGGAAATGCTTCTTTATGAAGTGCTGCTAACTTGGTATAATGAAATAAGTCCAGCTATATAACATACTACACAGCTATTTATAATTACCAGACACTTTGTTCATCTGAACATGGCAACGAGTGAATTCTCTTGTGGATTAAAAGCATTTCAGACTTTTTACAAATTTGAAATTATACTGCCTTGCTTAGTGCCTGAAGTGGGGCAAAGTAGCTGAATGGATTGTTGACTGATATCCTTCAGAGGTAGCTGGGAGGAGGAGGAGCCCACTTAAAGGATCTTTCTGGCAACGAATCATGGCCTCCTTATAATGAATCTTCTCTTTGCTGATAGGATCAACAAGATCTTTTTCATAATTAGATTCATCTTGTAGCAATGTAGCCAGGTCACTACTAATCAGGCCTGTCTGGATAGCTTCTGATATTGGGATACGGCCTGTTTTCTTAGGATCTATTAGTCCTCCCGTTAGGTGTTGGACTTGCAAATAAGGAAAGGCGTTATCTTGAGTTATCCATCCTTTCTGAACTGCTTCTCCTACAGCCAGTCTTCTCTTGGTGACAGGGTCTTCAATCCCTGTGAAAGCCTTCTGAGCATTCAACAACCTCTGCATATAAGTATTATCAATCAGTCCTTTATCAAGGGCTTTGTGGACAGAGTAGCGATCTCTTGAGATAAAATCAACTATGCCTCCAGTAGCAGCTTGTGCCTCTAAAAGCTTTTGGGCTGTCATTGGATCCACCAATTTCTTACTAAGTGCAGACTTAACGTTGTACTTGTTGTCATAGGTTGTGTCATACACTCCAGCAATAGGAAAAGTATCATCACAGAAAGCCATCTGTGGACCAGAAGAGAAGAAGGTTTGCTTTTGTTCAAAAACAGGGGATGAAATTGGAGACTTGGAAATGATTGAACCTATGGAAAGGGATGCATTCTGCTTACTTTCTCCTGCTACAAGTAGAGCAAACTCAGAGATAGGGATTTTGCCTGCCTTGTAGAGTTGGTATTCTTCTTTTGTAATCCTTTTGAACCGCAGAGCATCATCAATGGAGTACTGTTTTCCACTCTTTTTGTCAAGAAGAACAGAAACATCCCCATTGGGTCCCAGGGTTGTGATTTCTTCCCAATCACATTCCAGTTCTTGCAAATGGATATACTGACATCTATCTATCATGCCTCTTTTATAAGCCTCGTAGGGTGACATATCTTTACCAGTCTCTGGATCCAGAATAGATATCTTGGTAGAGAGGTTTGTCTCTCTCATCTGAGTCTCATTGTTCAGTTCTTCTCTGTTGATTCTGGATTGGAGTTCCCGGATAGTCCTCTCTTTTTCATAAATGTTATCCTTCTCCATAAGTATATCTGATTCCAGACGAGAAACCTCCTGGCCAAATTGGATCTTCTTTTGCCTATCACTTTCAGTCCTTTGGCTCAAGAGCTTGGTCTGTTCTCTAAGGAAAAGGGCTTTTTGTTGCTTTTGTTTTTCTAGTGCCCTTAATTCATCTTCAAGACTGACTTTTTCTTGCATTGTCACATTCCGAGTTTTCTGGAGGTCAGCTTCTTCTCTGGTCCGTGTGCATTGCATGCCTTCCGCTCTCTCAATCTTCTCTCTCAGATGTCTGATACTTTCTTCTGCATTTTGCCGAGCAGTTCGTTCTTTGCTTAGCAGGTCCCAAAGACGCGTTCGTTCATTTTCAAGTACCCTGTCTTTTTCTACTCTGATTACTTCCTTATATATTGTCTTTTCCTGGGACTTTGTCTTTTGTAGAACATCAATCTGGGCTTGAAGGTTCTTGCATTCCCTCTGGAAGCTCAACACTTGAACTTTCTCCTTATCTAGTTCAGTTCGCAAATTGGTGCTCGATTGCTCGAGAACTGGATCTTTCTCTACCTTGATTACTTCCTCCATGATTATTTTTTCTTGAAGTGGAACTGGGCTTTCTTCAATTTCTTTTATCCTCAAGGTGATCTGCCGCATTTCCTTTTCCAGAGCAAGCCTTTTGTTTCTGTCATCTTGGAAGTTCAGCATTTTTTCTTTGTCTTCCACTGCTGCCCGAAGCAATTGGACCTCATGATCCATCCTTCGCCGGTTGCTTATTTGTTCGTCTAAACTCCTGCCCAGCCTGTTGTGCTCCTCCCTAAGCTTCACATCTTTCTGAGTAACAACTACTTCCTGTACCACCACTTTTTCCTCAGGCTTCCTTCTCTCCAGAAGAATGTACTTATTCTGCAGATCATAGATGGCATCTTCAGTTGCTCTTCTCTTTTGTAATATATTACGCACTTCTTGGTGAAGACATTCCGCCTCTTTTTCTAGCAGAGGGTCATCCTCATATCGGACAACCTCCTTAGTAACAACCTTGGTTTCAACTTTGGCTCTTTCTCTTTTCCACTCATCCCTTTCTCCTTCTAACCTGATTAGCTGTTCTTGGAACCGCCCGTTTGCATTCACAAGATCATTTAGCTGTTCTTTCAACCGGTCTATTTCTCTCAATACCTCTGGGCTCTTTTCTGTTTTCAACACTTCTTGGACGACTTCTTTAAACTCCACAGTAGGTGCTTGGGATCTAAGAACTTTCAGTTCAGTCAAGGCTGTCTCTACCTCCTGATCAACTCTTTTTCTTTTCCTTGAAACTTCTTGGAGTTCTCTCTTCAACCGTGCTATCTCTTCCTCTGTTTCTGGGTCTAGGTGAAAAATCTCATTGACTCTTTCTTTTATCTCCACCCTAGGCTTTAGCTTCTCCATACTGCTGTATTTGCTCTGCAGCTGTGTCTGTTCACTTGACAATAAAATGTTCTTGTTCCTCTCCTCCTCAATAAGCTTTTGAAGCGTGGAAGCCTCTTTTAGGAGCTCTGGATCTTGTTCCACTTGTTTTATTTCTCTCACGACGACTTTGGGCTCAGTTGCTTCAATCAGCTTCTCAAGATCCTCAATTTTGCTTTTCATTTTTGCGATTGTATCCATTGCAGACTTCTTCTTGAAACTATCTTCGTCCATTTGCATTTGCAGTGATCTGATTGCTTTTAGCATTTCTGGATCCTTCTCTAACTTCACCACCTCTTTTACGACTACTTTCTCTCGGATGTTTTGCTGCTTTTGCTCCAGGACGTACAACTCTTTCCTGAGCCGTTCAATTTCAGAAGAAGAAGTTGAATTATCACGTAGATGCCTGATTTCTTCTTGGAGTCTTGTTGCTTGGGCATTTAGATTTGGATCTTTCTCTGTTTTTGTAACTTCTTTTGTAAGCAGCTGGCTTGTCACAACCCTTCTATCTTTTTCCATTTCAAGGAATATATTATTCACTTTTTCAATATCTGCCTGTAAGTCTGCTCGTTTCTTCTTTTCATTCTCAATTTGATTAGAGATTTTAGCAAGATCACTCTCCAGAACGGGATCTCTATAGTAATCTATCATTTCTTTCTCCTCAATTCTTTCAATGGGCCTTTGAGTTTTCAGTGTCAGAAGTTTAGTTCTCTGCTCCTCCAGTTCTTGCTGCACATTGGCTTTCTTGCTCTGCTCCTCTTTAAGCTGAGACTTCAGGATTTCTGATTCATCTATGTTTTTGGACTGCTGGGTTTGTTCATGCATTACCTGCACTGCATCACTTACTTCTTTCTGCGGAAAGAAAGAGGGGAGGGGGGGAGAAAGCAAAAAGAAAGAATTGTTGACTCTTAATACTATGAAATTTACTTCCAGTGCTAAACTTCTATATGACTGGCTCCTTGGAGTATGTGGCAACATTTAGTGAACCCACAAAAAGTGAGATTAAACTGGGATTAAGAATGAAAGCTTAACTGAGCCACGAACTCACTAAACCCTTCCAGGAAATTAAAAAAAAAAACACAACTACATGGAATCCTTCAGATTATTCACTGGATTCTGTATTTAGCAAAACATACAGTATGTCTAAGAATATATAGGGACACATACTTAAGTACTAAAAAACAAATGAATCTTATTAAGAATATTATATCCTCTGATATAAAGCCTGCATATACATCTTTTTGTATATATGACAGGGGTAAGGAAAAGGAGGCTGTTCTGTTCTTTTAGTAGGAAGCAAGCAAAATAAAACACTCTTAAGTATTAGGCTTCCAATCAGGGAAAAGGGAGCAGAAAAAATCAGAGGAACAAAGATGTCTCTTGTTTTTCCTACCTGTTTCTTTTTTTAATTTTTTTTATTGAATACAAAAGAAAGAAAAAAGATTAAAAACATCGAACATGGTAAATCGTCTTTGATATACATCTCCGTCTTGTCAGTCCATACTATATATTAACTACATATGATACTATATATCTATATACAGCTGTACATTCTTAGTATCTGCCTCTATTTATATCTTTGCTGTTGACCCCATTCTTTTTTCCCTCCATTTGTAGAATTTATTTCAGATTCGATAAAATTCTGTTTCTTCCTGATTTTTTAGTCTTTTAGTTATCTTGTCTAGTTCTGTGCAAGTTTTTCCTACCTATTTCTAATGGTCAATAAGATAAAACGTGCAACTTTAGAAGTTTTAACATTCTTTTTCAGAAGGCCAATATACCTTAGGTAAATCATGTCTCAGGCTTTCTCCCCTTTCCTATAATAGAGGGCTACCAGTACTGGCTTAATGACTGAAATTATGAATACAAAGCACTTTGAACTTTTAAGAAAAAGTACTGCCCAAATATTATTCACAGTTTTATTTCAATGTTCTTGGGCAATGACAAAAATATGCCGGCAATGGTAAATATGAACTGTTATACCGAAGAACTACAAATGGGATGAAATCCTGAAGGTTGTGAATTTTATTCCATTGAAAAAAACCAGCCCTCAGAAATGTTTTGGCTTTTTATACTTAACTAAATGTAGAATTGAAATGTGTTTCCATTTTTAAATTACTTTTTAAAAAGTGCAGTTTTGCTTTCTGACGTTATTTGAGAGTAGAAACAATTTTCAAACTGGATCAAATATTAAAAAGCAAAGTTGTGGTGAATGAGATATGGGATATTATTATTAATGTTGAAATTGTGATTAGGAATTCAAAGAAATAAAATATAAACATTGCTGTCCTTTTTTGGTAAAGTATATTAGGAAATTATAGTTCCTGTATCATTTCCATATAGAGAGGCAAAAGCAATTTGAAATAACAATCTTTTCCTGTTATCATCCTGAAGAAAAAAGAAACCAACGAACTTTCTTTTCACTAGTTTATAAGAGATGCTCTAATATTTAAGCATTATCGATATCATCTCAAATGATTTAGGCATACCTTATTCATAATTTTCTTGGCAAATTCCAACCAGCAGATTTGTTGTTTGTTTTCAGCAGTAGTCTCTGCATAGAGCTTTGTCATATCATTTTCCTGAAGCCAATTAACAAAAAATATTATTCAGATATCGCATTACCTCTATCAAGATAACTAACCCCCAGTAAAGTACAATATTTATTTCTAAATATTAATACTAGGCCACAGGGTTGAACAAACAGCTTTCTGTGGAGTTAGCAAAATGCTATTAAATGTGGAGAAAATGCTATTTAATCTGGAGAAAAATGCTATTTGTTGTTTGTCCATCGATTTCGATGAAGACCTTGACATCTTATGGATTATGGGCCATCAGCGGTGTGTCCGTAGATGGCTGATGAGACCGATGTTAGCACGGAATGTTCTGCCACATACTGAACAGAGAAATGTGGACACTATTGCTTCAGCATTTGCAGCTCTGGCTTTACGGAGTGCTCGCTTCTCTTGTGCCAAG